ATTATACACATGCTAGAACATATATACACTGCAATAGAGAAAAAAGAAGTCCCACTGGGGATCTTCATTGACTTACGTAAAGCTTTTGATACAGTTGACCATGACTTGCTCCACGTAAAATTGTCACACTATGGTGTTAGAGGGCACTCCCTCAACTACCTCAAGTCTTACCTCAGCAACAGAAGCCAATATGTGTACGCAAATGGGGCAAGCTCTTCCGCACAACCAATTACAGTTGGTGTCCCACAGGGAAGTGTCCTTGGCCCTCTTCTCTTTCTCCTATACATAAATGACCTACCAAATGCTTCGCAATTACTCAAACCCACACTTTTGCAGATGACACTACATACGTCTTCTCTCACCCGAGCCCAGTCACGCTAGCCAATACTGTGAACACCGAATTACAGAAAATATCTACCTGGATGAGGACTAACAAACTTACACTAAACATTGACAAAACCTACTTCATTCAGTTTGGTAACAGAGCTACAGATGTACCTCTTAACATAACAATAAACGGATCACCTATCACAAAACTAACAGAGGGAAAATTCCTAGGAATCCACCTCGATAATAGACTCAAATTTCATACACATATACAACAAATTTCTAAGAAAATCTCCAAGACTGTAGGCATACTACCGAAGATACGGTACTATTTATTTATTTATTTATTTATTTCCAATTTGTGCACACATACAGAGGTACAAAAAAAATACAGATAAGAGCAGTATGCCAAAGCTATGTTCCACAGTCAGCCCTCCTGGCCCTATATCACTCTCTTATTTACCCCTATCTCACCTATGGAATTTGTGCATGGGGCTCAACAGCAATTAACCATCTCAGACCACTAATTACCCAACAAAAGGCTGCAGTTAGAATGATAACAAATTCTCACTACAGGCAACACACTCCACCAATATTCAAAACACTCAACCTACTCACCATACAGAACATCCATACTTATTATTGCACCTATTACATACATAGAACACTTAACTCTGATATTAACCCTCCCCTCAAACATCTCCTTGCCAACCTCAACAGAACACATGACCATAACACAAGGCACAGATCACTCTTTGATGTTCCTCGTGTCCATCTCACGCTATGCAAAAACTCAATGCACATAAAAGGCCCTAAAATCTGGAATTCATTACCTGTAAATATAAAAGAAACACTACCTGTTTATAAATTCAAGTCTCTTCTCCAAGATCACTTACTCACCCAAAACCAAATAAATACTGAATAACTGAACCTTATAAATTGTATATCCTATATGTTACTCACAATTATATCACACAAATGTTAAACCTAGGACCCAATCTAACTTTATTATTTTTTTAAATACACTACCTAACAGAATACTCCATTCGACTGAATGTACAGCAATGCATGCAACCATATGACCTGTCTTTGTAATACTCATTTGTGCTTTATAGTTATCCGTTTACAATAATGTATTTTTGTACCTCTGTTTGTATGCTTAAATTACTAAATAAATAAATAAATAAGAAGATGCAAGGTGGCATGGAGGCAGCCGGGGCGAACTTGTTGCTACTGCAACCGAATATGTGTTTCTCATTAGTAGTCAACTACTGTTTTAATTTGCCTAGCTGACAGTCCCATCCCGGGACTAATTATATATTCTTAAGTGATAATATTATATGATAATATTCACGATAAATAATGGACGCACTCATTTGTCTTATTCATCATCATCGTGTCGTTATTATATACCATTAAGTTACTGTGTATGATCATTATTAGAATCTAAGCTTTTGTACTGAAATAAATAACTAATTACTTACAATGGAAATAATCCAAGGACACCAATGTAAATTTGACTGACATTTTTTGGGGGGGTTAACCTAGGTAATTACACTATGTATGGTAATTGTAATAATATATACCTGTACCTAAATACACTTACTTTACTTGCTTACTTTTACTTACTTATTCATACCTGCTTACTTTTGCTTATTTGCTAACATTTCCTTACCTGCTAACTTTCCTTACTTTTAATTTTTTTACTCTTTTTTTTTTTTGCCTCAGTAGTCACGCGAGACATTTTTTCCTACACACAAACATATTTTCTTTAATTTTCTGACGCCACATTATTATTATAAACAATTACCACAGACATTAAACTTAACACTGAATCTCTTTTCCTCACTTTTGGAGTACAGACACCATATATAAATATGTAATTACAGTGCATAGGCTCGTCTTTTTCGTGATACCATCTATTTACTATAGTAAATAAGTTTTTTTGGTACAGGTACACATAAATACAAGTATCATACATAGTGTAAATTACCCAGGATAACCCGCCCCAAAAAAGTCAAGATTTAAGTGACTTATTTGAATATATCGATTTTTTTTTGTGAAGATGGCACAGCATCAATATATTCATTTTATCGTAGAGTCGACCATGTGTATTTTTAGGGTCTCGATTTTGTCGATAATTATACATATGAAGGTAAAGGGGGGAGGGAAATATATTTTGTTCCCTGGGTGAAAATAACTGTACCTTGGTTCATACTTGGGTGTCATTGTGATGGAGAAGCTGCGGAACCATTTCAGCAGGATTCACCTTGCCCAGGGCGGGGATAAAGTGTATAAGGATGAATGTATGTTCTGCTTTGACACGCCGGTGAGTATTTGTCTAGAAAAAAAACGAATTTGTTGTAATGGGTGGTGATTAGCTCGGAATTTTTGGTCTCCTGGGATGGCTGGAGGTTTTGAACGGTACCTGGGTTGTTCCCCGGTCTATGTGTATTTTACCTGAATGATTAGGTCAGGTTTTGTTATTTGTTTAATTGATATGTTAAAATGTCAAATTATCCTTCGTAGACCGATTTTGTAATGGCTGTAATTGCATTTTCAAGGTGAGGAAACAAAACCAGTGTGGTACTAGGGGGAGTAAATACAGTTTTGTAGTACCTATTGTAGGTGGTCATGCCTCAATACCTTGTATTATACAGCAGTATTATTATTAATACAATGAAAACTAAACGCTAAACCCACAAGGGTCATATAGGCTGCATATACAACAATAAAGGAGTGGAATTATTACCTACATGTCAGAGTCCTGTCATGAGCTAGTTCAGGAACAGAACTTTGCAAGAAGGTTAAATAAATTATTTAGACAAGTACACTTAAGCACAATTATTATACATAGTATAAATTACCTAGGATAACTCAAACATGTCAGTGACTTATTTCCATTGGAGTCCTAATAAATGAAGCTACAGAAAGGGAGGAAAGTGATTTCCTGTACACTTAACATTGGTGTACCTATTATTATAAGCTGATTTTTCTGTTTAATGTTCTTGTAAATAACTCGGTTCACTTTATTTTTATTGTACCTCTTTACTGTGATGATTTTCAAGCAGTTGGGTTAGTTGTTTTAACATTTAAGGTTATAGCCATGATTAATTTCTGCTGTACCTTAAAGCAAAGCTTTAAATAATAAGATATTACAGGGACCCAATGGAAATAAGTCACTGTCTAACCTAGGTAATTTACACATATGTTAATGTATCCTGATTATAATCATCTAAATTTGTATATCTGTACTTATGCATAACTGTACCTAAATAAACTTATATACTACAAATCACCCAGAAGAAAATGGTGAGATTCATCCTGGACCTGAGTGCAAGAGAACATGCAGACCAGGATGAGTTACAATAATTGGATATGCTGAATGTTGAAGAGAGAGTAAATCAACGAAAGTTAAATTATGTTCTTAATGTACATTGACTTTTTTTGGATTATCCTAGATAATTTACACTATGATGATTGTACTTAGGTGTACCTGTGCCTCAATAAACTTACTTATTTTTCTACCTTTATCCATTTAGACTGAGAATTCCTGCTGTTTTTTTTTATATAAAATGATGATGTTTATTTTGATTTTAGTTATATTTCTAATTTAAGTAATCCATTTACATAGGTAATGAAGTACAGAAAAGTTTTGTAATATAATTGTAAATACAGTATGTTTCATGTAGTCCAATACAAACATGAAATTTTATGATGACTAAACCAAGGGTATCCCTATTGTGTTACATTTCACATTAAATTAGACGTAGCATAGACAGTACGTATTGTAAACATGAAAAAATCTCGCCATATTTCTTGTTTAACAGTTCAAGTAAAATAAAAGTAAAACTTGTATACTGTAGTGGTGATAAATAGATTATTTTAAGTTTGGCATTCATTGATATAAAATAAAAAATTTATGAGGCCCAAGACACTGCCTTGTAGTACCATAATGTTTATAGGCAAAGTATTTAATGAAGCCATTATGTTCTCTTGTTAGTTCTGTATGTCGGTTGTGCTAAGCATTCACTGGAATATCTTCTATACTTAACACTATATCACAGTAATACTGTGATATTAAATATTAATGGTATCAAAGGTGGAAGGACAATTCTTAAAATGTACTTCCTCTAATATGGCCATATACTTGGATGAAGAAACAAAAGTGGCAGGAAGATGCAGCATTGTTACCATATATGTTTTATTTTTGATGCACTTGGGTATTTCAAGCAATGCTTAAAAAATGCTGAAGTGAAAATGATTTGGTGCAAATAATTGCTTCCTAGCATGAACCAATAGGATTTTAACTTTGTTTGTCTGTACTGTACCTCAAGGAGAATATTAAGATACCTAACTCAGAAATTACTTAGAGAACGTGTTACTCAAACTTAAAAAATAAAGTAGTGTTCCCCAAGTTAAATACTCTTGTACTCTCATCAGCACACAACCCAACACACTATAGAAACCTACAGTATCTCCACGAATATTACAGCTTAACACTCCTTTTTCTTGGACAACCCAATTAATGCAACTTTCTTGAAGTTGCATCTTCGTCATGCATGGTATATACTTTTAGCACCTTTAGTTATTCACTCCTAATTAAAGTCTATTCAAAGTAATGAACAGAATTCTAGGCATTTCTGGTTGCTAGTACATGAGCTGTTAACATAACTTTTATGCTATGTGATTTTTAGAAAATAATTTTTTTTTTTTTTTTACACAGGGTTTGACAAGGTTAAGGATCATTAGCTTTATTGACAAGCTATTTACAGGTTAAGGATTCCTAACTTTATTGGCAAGCTAAGAGCTGTTACCTACATCAGCTCATTTGAAAGCATTTTTATTGTTATGAGACATACAAGTAGGGAACAGGATGAAGTTGGAGCCATCTGTGGGCCAGCATTTTCATTTGATCAACTGACTTTATCTCGTTGACATCATTATGCTGTACGAATGTGTTCCATACTCGAGTCATCCTGGGTATATAGGATCTCAGATGGAGTGAAGTTCTGGAGAAGGGTACAGCCAGAGTGAAGTTGCTGCTTTCTGCCCGTCTTGTGGCATAAAAGCTTGTTTCATGCTGTCCTTGAAGTGGATCAAAGTGTGGTATTTTGACAATATTGGCCTTGTACATAACAGTAAGGCCACCCACATCCCTCCTATGTTGAAGGCTCTATTAGTAGTATCCCAAATTTACCTTTTCTCAACTTATTCTATTTTATACATATTACTCCCTAATGAATGTTCTGTACATTTTATTGCTCTTAATTACAGAATTTATTGAAAAAGTTGTGTAATTACTATAATTAAATTGATAGAAGCTATAATGTATCTGGAATTACTTTGTAATTCCAGATACATTATACTTTGATTTAGTTAGGAAAAGAAATGTCTTAATGTACAATATCTTTCAACAGGAGAGTGAGACGGGGTTGTATGTTTGTTTGAACACTTTTCTTGGGTGGAGCAAAGAACATGTTGGACATTATTCAAACCAGACGGGGAACCGTGTCTTCTTGCATCTCAGACGGCATAAAAAGGAGGTAGGACTCTACTGTTACTTTCAGAATGGACTTGTAATGAAATGATCACTGCTTTGATACATAATGAGTATACAGGATCACATAAGATTTAATTCAGTTATCTGCAATATTTATAGAATTCATTTCCATTGAAAAGCAAAGTTAAGCTGTTTTCAAATTTCACTATATAACAGATGGATTAATACAGAGTTCTTCATTGCATAATACTTGCTGTATTAAATAGAATTAAATAATTTTAGCTTTTGGCATTCAGTAAACAAGTTTAATAAGACATTCATTTTATATTTTGCATTACATGTACTAGCTTCCACCTGAGAAGGAAATGGAGCCAGAGAAAAAGATTGCCCGGCTAGCAATTGGTGTAGAAGGTGGCTTCAACCCTGATGCTAACAAGAAGAGGTATGAATATGAGGAACAGAACTCACTGGTGATCCTTCCCGAGTTTGATATCATATCGCTACCCAGTGCAGACCTACCAGAAATTGTAAGTTTACCTTGTATAGTTTTTCAGATGTTATGTTGAAATTTTAATATAATATTTGTCAATGTGATACAGACTATAATTGTAGCTTAGGTATTACCTGGAGACGAGTATACCTGGAGAGGGTTTCGGGGGTCAACACCCCCATGGCCTCGTCTGTGACCAGGCCCCATGGTGGATCAGGGCCTGATCAACCAGGCTGTTACTGTTGGCCACACACAACCCAACGGAATAATGATATGAATGAATTGGAAACCATAAAAATAGTAAAAAAGATAAATACAGAATAATGAGACCTTTGCAAAAAAAAACTTACCAGTACAGTACAGTGGACCCCCGCATAACGATTACCTCCGAATGCTACCAATTATGTAAGTGTATTTATGTAAGTGCATTTGTACGTGTATGTTTGGGGGGTCTGAAATGGACTAATCTATTTCACAATATTTCTTATGGGAACAAATTCGGTCAGTACTGGCACCTGAACATACTTCTGGAGTGAAAAAATATCGTTAACCGGGGGTCCACTGTATATAAATTTTAAACATTACAGCAAGCACTGATTTTTGTGCCACCTCACCAAGACATTTCCCCATGATGACTTTCTCTTGCTGTCATTGTAAATTTCATTTGAAGTAAAATCTCAGCTATTAATAACATGCCTTTTATTTTCGTTACTTTGTAATTCCCAGATTAGTCTTCCATGAATTCTGCCTAAAGCGTTCAGGACTTGTAATTAAATACAGTTGAAAAACTTATTTCTTGAACAATTTTAATGTGTTATACTGTAATAGATTTTATGTATTGTACCAGAATTTGTTGATAAAAACTCAACTAAACTGTTTGCTGATTAGAAGGTGTGTGTACCCAAATGTTTTATTCATTTCTCCCTAATTTTTTACTTCCAAGAAGTCTTCTCAGAGACAAGCTTATATCTGCAAATAAGTGTTCTCCTGCTTATCTGCCAGTTTACCATTTTTTTTTCAAATGGATGGCCTTAGTTTTCCAAATTCTTTTAAAATCAATACAGTCCTCTCACATGTAAACAACCTGCTGTTTGTATATCATATTTTAATTCCCTTAGTTTGTAATGTTTCTTTTACCAGCATTGCAAATAATTTGCCATTTCATTGTTTAAAATTTAAATTTCAGTCACATTTTTAAGTACACCTTTGTGACACTATACAGTACTATAAACATAATTTTGTGTTTATGTATGATAGGCAAGAGTATTTTAATTATATTGTAGTTATAAATTTTAATTTAAAAAACTATTGTTAATATATTTATTTTAACAATGTAAACATTGTCTTAGTGTTAATGGTATTTCTTGAAACAGGTTCAGCAGAGTGTAGTAAGTATTTTGAAAGCAGAGTCTGCTCTTCACTTGGCTGAAGTTGAGGCAGCATCTGGTGCCTGGGATGGGGAAGTGCGGCAGATCACTAAGCATGCAGATTCTTTGAAGCAGCTTGATAATGGAGTCAAGGTATGCCTGTTGTGTATTACATGGTTAGGCAGGTGGTTTGGTGGTTGGAGAGTTGGTTATTCACTAATGACTATGGCAGGCCAGTTAGCCATGGTTATTATAGCATAATAAAAGGGATCCCCTATTGTCCATACATTTTACTCTGGCTATTATTAATAATTTAACATAGTAGTTGAAAGTTAAGACACGTGCAACATCTGGATATCTTTATTGTAGACGTTTCGCCATCCAGTGGCTTTATCAATATAGATTCTAGGACATAATTAGAAGACACATTTTGTTGAAAATAAGAAAAAGTTTTGGAGTGAGATTAACAAGTTAAGGAAGCCTAGAGAACAAATGGATTTGTCAGTTAAAAATAGGAGAGGAGAGTTATTAAATGGAGAGTTAGAGGTATTGGGAAGATGGAGGGAATATTTTGAGGAATTGTTAAATGTTGATGAAGATAGGGAAGCTGTGATTTCGTGTATAGGGCAAGGAGGAATAACATCTTGTAGGAGTGAGGAAGAGCCAGTTGTGAGTGTGGGGGAAGTTCGTGAGGCAGTAGGTAAAATGAAAGGGGGTAAGGCAGCCGGGATTGATGGGATGAAGATAGAAATGTTAAAAGCAGGTGGGGATATAGTTTTGGAGTTGTTGGTGCAATTATTTAATAAATGCGTGGAAGAGGGTAAGGTACCTAGGGATTGGCAGAGAGCATGCATAGTTCCTTTATAAAGGCAAAGGGGACAAAAGAGAGTGCAAAAATTATAGGGGGATAAGTCTGTTGAGTATACCTGGTAAAGTGTATGGCAGAGTTATTATTGAAAGAATTAAGAGTAAGACGGAGAATAGGATAGCAGATGAACAAGGAGGCTTTAGGAAAGGTAGGGGGTGTGTGGACCAGGTGTTTACAGTGAAACATATAAGTGAACAGTATTTAGATAAGGCTAAAGAGGTCTTTGTGGCATTTATGGATTTGGAAAAGGTGTATGACAGGGTGGATAGGGGGCAATGTGGCAGATGTTGCAGGTGTATGGTGTAGGAGGTAGGTTACTGAAAGCAGTGAAGAGTTTTTACGAGGATAGTGAGGCTCAAGTTAGAGTATGTAGGAAAGAGGGAAATTATTTCCCAGTAAAAGTAGGCCTTAGACAAGGATGTGTGATGTCACCGTGGTTGTTTAATGTATTTATAGATGGGGTTGTAAGAGAAGTAAATGCGAGGGTCTTGGCAAGAGGCGTGGAGTTAAAAGATAAAGAATCACACGTAAAGTGGGAGTTGTCACAGTTGCTCTTTGCTGATGACACTGTGCTCTTGGGAGATTCTGAAGAGAAGTTGCAGAGATTGGTGGATGAATTTGGTAGGGTATGTAAAAGAAGAAAATTAAAAGTGAATACAGGAAAGAGTAAGGTTATGAGGATAACAAAAGATTAGGTGATGAAAGATTGGATATCAGATTGGAGGGAGAGAGTATGGAGGAGGTGAATGTATTCAGATATTTGGGAATGGACGTGTCAGCGGATGGGTCTATGAAAGATGAGGTGAATCATAGAATTGATGAGGGGAAAAGGGTGAGTGGTGCACTTAGGAGTCTGTGGAGACAAAGAACTTTGTCCTTGGAGGCAAAGAGGGGAATGTATGAGAGTATAGTTTTACCAACGCTCTTATATGGGTGTGAAGCATGGGTGATGAATGTTGCAGCAAGGAGAAGGCTGGAGGCAGTGGAGATGTCATGTCTGAGGGCAATGTGTGGTGTGTATATAATGCAGAGAATTCGTAGTTTGGAAGTTAGGAGGAGGTGCGGGATTACCAAAACTGTTGTCCAGAGGGCTGAAGAAGGGTTGTTGAGGTGGTTCGGACATGTAGAGAGAATGGAGCGAAACAGAGTGACTTCAAGAGTGTATCAGTCTGTAGTGGAAGGAAGGCGGGGTAGGGGTCGGCCTAGGAAAGGTTAGAGGGAGGGGGTAAAGGAGGTTTTGTGTGCGAGGGGCTTAGACTTCCAGCAGGCATGCGTGAGCGTGTTTGATAGGAGTGAATGGAGACAAATGGTTTTTAATACTTGACGTGCTGTTGGAGTGTGAGCAAAGTAACATTTATGAAGGGGTTCAGGGAAACCGGCAGGCCGGACTTGAGTCCTGGAGATGGGAAGTACAGTGCCTGCACTCTGAAGGAGGGGTGTTAATGTTGCAGTTTAAAAACTGTAGTGTAAGGCACCCTTCTGGCAAGACAGTGATGGAGTGAATGATGGTGAAAGTTTTTCTTTTTCGGGCCACCCTGCCTTGGTGGGAATCGGCTAGTGTGATAATAATAAAAAAAAAAATTAGAAGACAGTAGAACTATATACAAAAGACGAAGTAATCAGTCCCTCAGCCTTGGAGTTAGTGTTTACAGCATCGTGGTGGTGGAGAATCTGGAGCAAAGGCAAGAAGACAGGCAGTTATATAGGCGTCAGTGGATAAGGACGTGTAGCAGATGAGGGCATAGTTAGTGGTAGACGAGATTCCCCAGTGGAAGTAGGTCCTACCCAAAGGGATGGGTTAGTTGTAGCAGCCATGAAGAAGGTCTTGTAGATGTCCTCTGAACCAAGATTCCATAATGTTGCAGTGTCTGACAAGTTGTACAAGAAAGGTATAAAATACCAACAATATATTGTCGGTATTTTATACCTTTCTTGCACTACTTAGTAGTTGTCTGCATAATCCTGGCCATCACACTGTCCTTGCAGTGACTGCTTTTCTTCATTAAGTTTTCCATTACTAGTGCCTATGTTTTTTTTTTTTTTTTCTCCCTTAAAGCAAGCAATACTCTAATATTCTTCAATTTACTAAATCAGTTGCAGTTTAATGTAGACAAATGCAAAGTTCTAAGCCTTGGAAAAAATCATGGCACTTATACACTAAGTAATGTAGATCTTAAATACTCTCAATTCAAAAAAGTTCTGACATTCTGGGTTACACTAATTAAAAGCCAAGACGACAATATCATAAGGTTCACAATAATGTGAATACTCAATTCATTGGCTTCCCATCAAGAAGTAATTAAACAACGAGAGATTCTAAGGTAATACATCAACTCTGTATAATTCTCGTTAGGCCTCGATGTAGATACGTGCCCCGTTCTTTCACTGTATTGGAGAATGGACATCAGTGCTTGGGAAATCAGAGAATTACAATGTTGATCCCATGGATAAGAAATATTTCCTATAAGGATAGACTGAGGGCACTGAATCTGCACTTCGGTTACCCAGACTTAGTCCTGGAGGTAGGAAGTGCAGTGCCTGCTCTCCAAAAGAAGGGTGGGGATATTTGCAGTTTGGAGGGGCACTGGAACAGTAGTATCGGCATGTCTTTGATGAGACAGTGATGGTGAATTATGATGAAAGCATTTATTTTGGGTCACCTTACCTTGGTGGGAAATAGAAAAAAAATTATAGAAAGTGTATAAATGGAAAACAGGAATAAATAAAGGGAATGTAAATAATGTACTAGATATGTATACCTAACCAAGAAAGGGCTCTTAGCAGTGGGTTCAAGATGGAAAAATTTTGATTTAGAAAGGATACAGGAAAGCATTGGTTTGGTATTAGAAGTACGAATGAGTGGAACAAACTCGCGAGTAGTGTCATTGAGGTGAAAACCTTGTGTATCTTTAAAAACAGTGTAGACAAGTATGTGGGTGGGTGCGAGTTGGATCTGCCTAGCCTGACCCAGTAGGCCTGCAGCAGTGCTCCTCTTTATGTTCTTGAGTAGATATTTACTAGTATACACTTCAATATTTATTCAGATTCACTAACTTGTCTTCAAGGCTACTAATATATCACTCCTGGCATTTTTGCCATTAATCTGAATTAAGACTATTCATTATGGAAAATACCTAAAAATCATGAAAAATTACCTAAAAATAACAGTTATCAAAAATAACAAGAAATGACTAAAAACTTATGAGAAATATCAAAGAATTTGGAAAAATAACCATAAATCATGAAAAATAAATAATTACCTCAAAAAATTATGCCAATTGAAGTACTTTTGATGCTACTTAAGAATATGCACTTATAAAAAGAGACAGTTTTAGCATGATACAAGCCTGTTTTCTCTTGTGTTTCTTCCTGTCTGGTGCTCCTTTTATGGCACATTTATCTTGTAAAACTCTCATGACTATCTATGAAAGCTGTATATACAAGATTTTTTCATGTTTGTGGCGATAAATTGATCCAGCCAACAGTGTGATCATGACAGTTTTCCATTTTGAGAGAAAAAATTTTTTCGCCCCCAAAAATCCCTGAACATTTTTCACCATTTTCGGTCAGATTCTCAAAAATCATTGAAATCACACCAGGCGTACTATTTTCTATGCTGATTCAGAATATACACTTAAAAATGTAAAATGAGATTTTAGCATCATACAAGGCCTTAAATGCAGGGACTGTTTTGTTCTTGTGAGAATCTGGATTTATTTATATATGTTAGGTCAAAAAAATCCTCCTCCTCTTCCTCTCTGTCATCCATTGCCCACACTTTTTTTAATTAATTTATTTCTTTACTACTAGCAAGACGTATGTGTGTTAGTTATAATATAAATATATAATATACATATTTTCTAGGTTGTAGGTTAGTAGACAGCAACCGCCCAGGGAGGTACTACCGTCCTGCCAAGTGAGTGTAAAATGAAAGCCTGTAATTGTTTTACATGATGGTAGGATTGCTGGTGTCCTTTTTTTTCTGTCTCATAAGCATGCAAGATTTCAGGTACATCTTGCTATTTCTACTTAGGTCACACTACACATACATGTACAAGCATATACATGTATACACACCCCTCTGGGTTTTCTTCTATTTTCTTTCTAGTTCTTGTTCTTGTTTATTTCCTCTTATCTCCATGGGGAAGTGGAACAGAATTCTTCCTCCGTAAGCCATGCGTGTTGTAAGAGGCGACTAAAATGCCAGGAGCAAGGGGCTAGTAACCCCTTCTCCCGTATAAATTACTAAATTTAAACTTTCGTTTTTCTTTTTGGGCCACCCTGCCTTGGTGGGATACTGCCGGTTTGTTGAAAAAAAAAAATATATGCATATTTAAAATACAGCCTCTCCTCACTTAGCGACGTACTCATTTACTGATGCCTCGGACTTACGATGGGCTTTTTGACTAGTATGCATACCTAAATAATGTACTATATTAGAGCTGATTTGATCTATTCTGTTTATTACAATATACAGTACACTACTGTATAAACATTTTAAAAATATACCAGAAATTTTATAAATGGTGCCAAGGTGACATTAAAACAATATCAAAGATAGTTGACACAAACCCACTACCATTATAGTACGCTCCTCACTTAGCGACGAATTTATTTACCGACGTGGTCTTAGGAATGGAGCTCCATTGTTAAGTGGGGGAGGCTGTATAAAGAAATTTTTATAATTTATATAAGATTAAAATCTATTACCAAATGGGTAAATACCAGTAAACATAGTTCCCCAGCCAGCCCTAGTACTTTCCTTTGTTCATTTCTTAGGTTCCACCCAGTGGCTGGAAGTGTGAAGAGTGTGACAAAACTGATAACCTTTGGCTAAATCTCACTGACGGAAAAATTCTCTGTGGGAGAAGACAGCTGGATGGCTCTGGTGGTAATAACCATGCTCTTGAGCACTATGAAAAGACAAGTAAGTTTAACTTGTAATAACCTTTACAGTTTTTTCTTTCTAGGATTAAATTCTTTGTAGTCTTGACAGTGTGCATCTTTAGTGTTTTATTACTTTCCTCCTTGTTTATTTAAAGTCTAGAATGCGCTAAGGAATATGCCATCACAATTCTTGAAAGCCTTGAAATTTATTTTCCTATACCTTTAACAGAATGCATCTGTAGCTTTCTGTCAATAGATTGGTGTGAGTTTATCCTTGTAATAAATCTTAATTACATGATTTTAATGCCTGTCTATTTACTCATTTTGCAGTCATGTCTGGTATTTAACATGCAGTAACTTTTCAAAAATCGTCTCTCAGTATTTATACTATTTTATTTTTTAATGTTGGTTAAAATTATGGCTTTAGCTAACAGCACATAATTTGTATTGAGTTGTATGTTACATGAACTTTAACTGCACAATTGAGATACCTTTGCATCTAGTGTCTAATAAAGCTTTATCTTCAGCTTATGTATCAACTTTAATTGTTGTCGTTAGTTCTTTCCACATGCTTTACATGTAACTTTAAAAGTTAGCTTCCTTCCTCTCCTTTTTATCCATTCCACCAAATTAATTCATGGTTAACAACAACTTAGCCGGAAGTGTCCCCAACATTCAGGGACTTCAAATATTTATAAATAGTTCCATGGTTCTTTGTTTCCAGTGCCCCTTCTTGAACCAGCTCAACAAAATTGGAAAGGAAATATTTGAGGAATAGGAACTATTAACCCTTTCACTGTCTCTCGTGTACATCTACTTTACTGATGCCACCGTCTCTCACATAAATCTGTGTTTTAAGTACACTGCTCTCAAATATGCTATGATTGGTAAATTTTGGTTGTTTTAGTGGCTAGAATGCCTAGTGTTGATTTTGGACCATTTGAAAATTGTAATTTGTTGAATATTGTAACCAAATTTTGCATTTTTCGATCATTACCTTCAGATAGACTACTATTTCATTTTTTTTTTTTTTTTAAATTGTGACATTGTCATCTTGTAATTTTGGGGGCTGTGACAGTAATGGGGTTAAGAAACACTCAGGAAAACATAGTGCATTTTCACGTTCATAGCTGAGGATGGTGGTATGTTACCCCACAAAAATAAGTTAGTCTACTGGCCTACTGCTGTCACTAGGAGGCTGGGCTGTGGCATTAGTATTAGTGGCTCCATTATTGGAATAAACAACAGTTATGATGTTCCATCCCTAAAATAATTCCATGTGGATAAGATAGTAAGAGAATGATGGTACATAATTGCTCCCATATCTAAATTAGAAAAACTGAAAACAAAAGTACTTTCATACAAGTACATAAAAGGATATGAAAAATAGATGAATATTTCTCAGCACCATCAACATGAAGCATAGTTGTACATAGAAAAAAGGTGGTGCAATAAAGATACTTGGAATGGTCAATTCTTGGGGTAGTCATTCCTTCAGCCTGGTCCTAGACTAGAAAGTTCTCAGTGGTAGAACAACAGAATAGGGTTCATTGGAAATTTAATAAAATTGCATAATAAATTAAATACTAAATACAGAACACCACAAGCATGTGTCCCTACAGCTAAGAACATACAAATACCCCTAGGTAATCTCGCATGCTGTTTGGCATCTTTCTAATTCTTTTAAAATTCTTCAGTCATGTTAGTACCATATGCATTTGAACTTTTTTTTTTTTATTCCAGAGTACCCACTTTCTGTAAAGCTTGGCACAATCACACAAGATGGAAATGCTGATGTGTACAGTTATGATGAAGATGACATGGTTTTAGACCCAGATCTTGTGAAGCATTTGGCTGTAAGTAAATTTAGCAAAAAAGTTATTACTTGCAGAGATGTATGATTTTGATCATCCACAACTTCTTGTTGTGTAGTTCAAATTTTGCATCACTTTTTTTTTGTGAAATTTTTTTCAGTTTCTGTTTCTTTATTAGGTTTTTATCACTAATCTTTCAAATCGTAAAATTTTATGGAAGATTATTTTTAGCTTAAATAGACTGTATCCACATTGTTGACCCCATGTTAACTCAGCACTGTATCATTGGTAAAAATCTCTTCTTGATGCAGTAAATGCCTTCTAATGTTTGACACTTTTAACTGTTTTATGGTCCGACACATTAATCTATGTTACTGACACTGGTGTTCCTCACACAGAACCGGCTGACTCAGATAAGCTTGGAGTGGTAAATTTTGGACTAGATTTTAGAGGATGGGTCTGTGTAATGAGTGCTCACAGTATAAAAGACAAAAAATCATAACCCGTGTGGTGCATGGAAAAAGCAAAATTTGGACATAGTATTTGGTTTAAAATAGTGAATTTCAAGTGTTTTCTACGATGACTTGTATGTTTTATTGGCTGTTTTTTGGTATCATTTGATAGAATGGAAGGCAAGTTTAATATAGGAGAGGCTTGGGGATGTGATTAATGAATAGAGGAAATGTTGATTTAGTGTCGGAAATGTGTACAAAGTTTATTTTGGACACTGCTTTATAATTAGAATTTGTTTAATTTTTTTGTAAAATCAACTAAATTACCAAAGTTTTTTTTTTATTCTACTTTACATACACCCAATGAGGCTGTCCTTGCATGTCCATTGCTAAATTCAGGTGACAGATAAGACAGTTTGAATATCAGTTACCATAATTCTGCAAGTTCATATCTTGCAGAATAGGAGTGCAAACAAAATGTCTGGCAATGATTATACAGGCAACTACATACTTAAGGATGGAGAGCTCTCAGAAAGAAAAAAAATTTCAAACTTTTTAAGTGTAAATATATGGTGTAGTATAGGAAAAATACTACCACTTCCACAAGAGCTATTTCATGTCTTTTCAGCATTTCGGCATTAATGTAAAAGTGATGGAGAAAACAGAGAAGACTATGCTCGAATTAGAGATTGATTATAATCAGCGTGCGTGGGAGTGGTCTCGACTAACTGAATCAGGAGCAAAGCTTGTGCCAAAGTTTGGACCAGGTTTAACAGGTACAGTAATGTTTTGCATATGTTTGCTTTATAATACTATATGCACCAGTATAGAATTTGATACTTTTATCAAATATTCTATTATTTAAGCTGTAGAGAAAATTTCTTTAGTAATTTGAAAATCTATTTTGCTCGGTATAAGACATTGCACTGATTTGTAATTATTAGCGGTAGTACAGTTGACCCTCATTTAACAACCCAGGTTGGGATTAGACGAAAGTTTTAAGTGAAAAACATGTTCAGCAAAAAAAAATTTAAGCTAATTATGGGATTTGTAGGTTTTTATATTTCAGGTTTGTCAATGTACAGTATTTTCTATCGATCATTACATAAACTTGTACTGAAGTTTTTTGTTCGAGTGTCCTACTGCTAAAATTAAGTAGTTTTTCCCATTCAGTATCTGTCGTATTTTGTATTTAAGTTAAATAGATTGACCCATTTTGTTTTTAGTAGGTTAGTGAAAATATAAATTTGGTCTAATGACTATTATTGATTTTTATTTTTTAGGCCTGAAAAACCTTGGAAACTCATGCTATGTCAACTCTGTAATGCAAGTGCTATTCACCGTTCCGAGTTTTGTGGAGAGATTCTACAATCATGGAGAGACTATCAGAGGGGGTTACAAAGGCACTAACCCTGCAGAAGACTTCAATGTCCAAATGAGTAAACTTGCTCATGGCCTTCTGTCAGGAAAGTTAGTGTCAACATAAAGATTATTTTAAATTACTGTGCTTTATATACCAGATGTCTTTGGAAGCATGCAAATAGATTCTCTAGAATATTAGTGAAGATGGTGCAGCTGGATTTACAGGCCATATATGTAGCAGTTGTGTGAAGTAGGTTAGTAGCCATTTAACCCTTTCACTGTCTAGACCTCTGAAATTAATATTGATCCAAGTATCCACCTTTTTCCTAGGTAGTAGGTTGGTAGACAGCAACTGCCCAGGGAGGTACTACTGTCCTGCCAAGTGAGTGTAAAACAGAAGCCTGTAATTGTTTTACATGATGGTAGGATTGCTGGTGTCTTTTTTCTGTCTCATAAACATGCAAGATTTCAGGTATGTCTTGTTACTTCTACTTACACTAAGGGCGCACTACACATACATGTACAAGCATTTATATACATACCCCTCTGAGTTTTCTTCTATTTTCTTTCTAGTTCTTGTTTATTTCCTCTTATCTCCATGGAGAAGTGGAACAGAATTCTTCCTCCGTAAGCCATGCGTGTTGTAAGAGGCGACTAAAATGCCGGGAGCAAGGGGCTAGTAACCCCTTCTCCCGTATAAATTACAGTGGACCCTCGACTAACGCTATTAATCCATTCCTGAGAGCTCATCGTTAGTCAAAATAATCGTTAGTCAAGTTAATTTTCCCTATAAGAAATAATGGAAATCAAATTAATCCGTGCAAGACACCCAAAAGTATTGAAAAAAAAACATTTTTAACACATGAAATATTAATTTTAATACACACAAACTAAAGAAGACATGCACAGTTACATGACACTTACCTTTATTGAAGATCTGGTGATGATTGATGGGATGGGAAGAGGGGAGTGTGTTGATGGTCTTAGTGTTTAGAAGGGGAATCCCCTTCCATTAGGACTTGAGGTGGCAAGTCCTTTTTCGGGGTTACCTCCCTTCTTCTAATGCCACCAGGACCAGCTTGAGAGTCACTGGACCTCTGTCGCACAACATATCTGCCCATAGAGGCCTGTACCTCCCGTTCCTTTATGACATTCCTAACGTGTTTCACAACATTGTCAGTGTCACCATTAAACACTTGTTCAGGTTTCAGTCCTTCACTGTCTATGTACTCCTTGAATTCCTGCACATATTTTTCAGCTGCTTTTTGGTTCGAACTGGCAGCCTCACCATGCCTTATCACACTATGTATGCCACTACGATTCTTAAATCTCTCAAACCAACCTTTGCTGGCTTTAAATTCACTCGCATCACCACTAGTTGCTGGCATTTTTCTAATTAAATCCTCATGCAACTTCCTAGCCTTTTCACATATGATCGCTTGAGAGATGCTATCTGTTTTTCGTTTATCCATACCAATAACAGTCTCTCAACATCTTCTATCACTTGCGATCTCAGTTTCAAAAACATAGTTGCACCTTTGGCAGGAACAGCTTCCTTGATTGCCGTTTTCTTGGCCACAATAGTAGCGATGGTTGATTGGGGTTTTGTGTACAGCCTGGCCAGCTCGGAGACATGCACTCCACTTTCATACTTAGCAATGATCTCTTTCTTCATATCCATAGTAATTCTCACCCTTTTTGCTGTAGGGTTGGCACTAGAAGCTTTCTTGGGGCCCACGGTGACTTATTTTGCAGGTGCAATCACTAAAAAGGCTGTGATAATATGAAATGTTCCGATTGTATGCTTGGAAGCGACCGCGGTGGCTGGCTGGCTTGTAAACACTGGCCAGAAGTGGACGCTTCTCAGACGGAAGGAATAGTGTTGGTCGAGTTTTTTAGCGCTAATCGAGGCAAAATTTTTGCGATAAAATGTATCGCTAGTCAGATTTGTCGTTAATCGATGCCATCGCTGGTCGAGGGTCCACTGTACTAAATTTAAAAAGAGAAACTTTTGTTTTTCTTTTTGGGCCACCCTGCCTCGGTGGGATACGGCCGGTTTGTTGAAAGAAAGATGATGATCCACCTTTTTTCTGAAATGGTAGAGAATCTATTTCTGAAGGTAATGACACCAAAAGTACAGAATTTGATGAGAAACCTACAGAATTAGGCAGGTGCAAAGTTAATGGTCTAGGTGCAATTTATGTATCGGTGATTTCACCGACTTTGAAACCTAATTTAAATCAGTTCCATTGCTTTATTCGACTAAATTCTTATCTCACTAGTATGCTTTACATTCTATCAATTGAGCACAAGAAACTGCTCATTCAACAATTACAACTACCCTATAAAGTGCACAGAAATTGCTAATTTGGCAAATATACCAAAATTAAAAAAAGTACCAGTTTACAGAGTACAAGATAAACACTAGACATTTCTTGCACTAAAACATTTCCTGTTTATTAATCACATTCCCAGGCTTCTATATTACATTTGCCTTCAATTTTGAATTCATATAAAAAAATTAACTTCATTTCCTGGATAATAAAATGTAACCAGGAATGATTGGTCTGGTTTACGGCATCTCAGTAATTGAATCAAACCTATTAAAAAAACCATAAAACATTGATATAAATTTATATAAATTCAATGTCTGCTACTTTGAGCCCAATTTCAAGCTAATTCTGGTCCTGAAACAAATTAGAATAATCTTTTTCAGTAGTATGTCTTCCATTCTATCAAATAATATCAAGAAACAGCCAATATAACCATAAAAAACATCTTGGAAAGCAACTCGGTCACTTTTTCTAACGAAACACATGGTCAAAGTTTTGCTTTTTCCATGATGCACCACATGAGGCAGGATTTTTTTTATACTGTACACACTCCTCGTGCAGACCCATTCTCTCATAATTTGCCAAAATTTATGACACTCAGCCTGTATAAGTGAGCTGAGCTCATGACGTAGAGCTACATGAGGGACCTTGGCTTCAATGATGTAGGTTTATTTAACTGCCACTGAAAGTGTTAACATTGTTGGTATTTTTCTGAGTGAAGGTTGATGAGAAAATTTATTTTTCAGGTACTCAGTAGCTCCAAATTCAGTTGATGAGAATAAAGATGCAGATGACTTACAGCCTGGCATATCTCCAGTTATGTTTCGTACACTAGTGGGAAAGGGTCATGCTGAGTTTTCAACTAAGAAACAGCAAGATGCTATGGAGTTTCTGGAACATGTACTGAAGATGACAGCTTGCAATTCTGCTGGTGCATCTGATCCTGGAAGCTGTTTTAAATTTGAAGTAAGTATGGTAATAGCGTAATTTTCTACATAATTGTTTTAACACGGTAGCCATTTCTTACCAAGGTAGGATGTTTAAAAAAAAAAAAAAGTGCTTTCACTATCATTCATTCAGTCACTGTCCTGCAAGGAAAGTGTTATCTGTTCTATACTCTCTCAAATTCAAACACTCCAACTTCAACATTCCATTTTTGTTTTAGCAGTTTATGCAGAAAGGGTTATTAACCTCTTGCTTCCAGCATTTTAGTTGCCTTCTTATATTCATCAAAATCTTTAATTAGGATTTTAATGTTTAACATTGTTTTTCTGTGCATTAATAAAATATTTTTTGGTTTTATATGGTATATTTTATGGTATATTTTAGGAAGGGTTGTTGAGGTGGCTCGGACATGTAGAGAGGATGGAGCGAAACAGAGTGACTTCAAGAGTGTATCAGTCTGTAGTGGAAGGAAGGCGGGGTAGGGGTCGGCCTAGGAAAGGTTGGAGGGAGGGGGTAAAGGAGGTTTTGTGTGCGAGGGGCTTAGACTTCCAGCAGGCATGCGTGAGTGTGTTTGATAGGAGTGAATGGAGACGAATGGTTTTTAATACTTGACGTGCTGTTGGAGTGTGAGCAAAGTAACATTTATGAAGGGGTTCAGGGAAACCGGCAGGCCGGACTTGAGTCCTGGAGATGGGAAGTACAGTGCCTGCACTCTGAAGGAGGGGTGTTAATGTTGCAGTTTAAAAACTGTAGTGTAAAGCACCCTTCTGGCAAGACAGTGATGGAGTGAATGATGGTGAAAGTTTTTCTTTTTCGGGCCACCCTGCCTTGGTGGGAATCGGCCAGTGTGATAATAATAAAAAAAAAAATTTAGGGATGAGACAGTATCAGAATCTTTGCCATTGTTGATACTTTTTTGGCATAATTTTTAAAATTTGATAACTAGGTTCAGTAGTTAAGGAAATGTTTGTAGCTCAAAAGGTACTGTATTAAATAAACCAAGGAGGTTAAATATTAAATACCTTAATTTCTCTGAGATGTGACTGTCATTCTCATTACTAATTACAGGTACCCAGGTGAGGCTTAATGAATGAGAAGAAAGAAAACAATTTCTGAATCTACATATTTAGTAATCTGATGAAACAATCATTGGAAATTAATTACAAAAGCACAAGTCTGAACAATTTCCATTTATATTAAATGTGAAACTAAAGCATCCAATAGTCTCATAATACTATGTACATATTTAAAGCTTAACAAAAGATTTTGAATACTGAAAAAATATTCATTATTGTAATAACTGGAAATTTAAAATAATAAATTATAGTTCAGATTTTGAACACACACACTCCATTATTATACTCAATTAACTGACACATTTCTGTAATACAGTTTAAAGGTTTTATCTTTAAAGACTCGTTTAAAAATAGAACAATAATTCTAATACGTACTTAAAATTGTAAATAAACAGTATTCTGTATGTATATTAGCAATGATGTTGTTTATTACTCTGCTCTAGAATATAATGGTTAACCATTTGAAATACTAGTAGCAAGTATGACATATTGTTGTATCTTGTCCCTTCAGTTCCTGTTGACAATATTGGCAACATTACTTGTATACTATCAAATTAATTTTGGAAGTTAGTATGTTGAATTCATGTATTGCTTTCTGAATAATCTGTGATATGCACTGCTGAGTGGGATCCAGGAAATGGCATTGGCCCAAGGACAATCATTTTCTGAAAAAGTTTGTGCTGAGGCAGTGTCCAGTTAAACTTATAAAGGCTTCATTTGATGCATTCTTCCGTATGTCTGTGGTGAAACTAATGCATTCAGCGTCTTTTTTTTTTTTGTTGTTGTTTTGTTTTTTATTAATAGATGCTTATTACATTAAAATTCTAAAAGTATCAGCTGGTATCGGCAACTTTTTAATAGATATCGATACCATAAAAATGGTTGATACTTTGGCACACCCCTGGTACATTTTTTATTTATGTTTATGCAGAGTTTGGCAACTTTGTGCAGTATACTTTTATTGGGGAAGTGGAGAAGAATCCTCCCTCCATAAGCCATGTGTGTCATAAGAGGCGACTAAAAAGCCAGGAGCAAGAGGATAGTAACCCCTTTTCCTGTATAAATTACTGAATGTGAAAAGAAACACTTGTTTCTTCTGTTTTGGGTCACCTGCCTCGGTGGGAAATGGCCAGTTTGTTAAAATAATTTTGCTCATGTTAACAAGTTGCTTCTGTATTAATTATAGTAGTAGTTTTCTTAAATTTGCGAGAGTTTAAATTGTCTAAATTTACTTATTTTTTCTTTTATAACTTAAATATAAAATGAGGCAAGTAAGAGATAATCACAAAGTTGTTTTAGCTGGCTATTTTGCATTAAAGCTAAAGAAAACTACACACACACCTGTAATTGTACTTTCTTTTTATCTCATTTTGAGTAATAAATCTGCCATACACTTAATCTAGTATACTAAATAAACTTGCTTGTCTATAATTTGTATTCTGTCTTTTTCCACTTTTTCCTTATCCTGTACTGTATAAAAGCTACACATGCTTTTTGCTATTCCTTGGTTCTTTCACTTTATTCAAATACATGTACATATAGTATGCTGTATACATATTGTATGAATGCATCAACCTTCCTAATACAGTGGACCCCCGCATAACGATTACCTCCGAATGCGACCAATTATGTAAGTGTATTTATGTAAGTGCATTTGTACGTGTATGTTTGGGGGTCTGAAATGGACTAATCTACTTCACAATATTTCTTATGGGAACAAATTCGGTCAGTACTGGCACCTGAACATACTTCTGGAGTGAAAAAATATCGTTAACCGGGGGTCCGCTGTACTTCATCCCTTTCTACTTTCACCAATTCAGTCTTAATATCATTGATCAACATTTTTCACTTTTAACATACTCCTTAATATTCGTTTCACTGGCTCTTCCATCATTCTAATCCGCCTCATTTCTAATTGCCAGAAGCATGAAATTTCTGCTTCATTTCATATACATTCAGCAACTTCTGAATGATAATTCCATCTTTCAAATACCATTCATGATTATCTAGCATTTTTCTTTGTCAGAAGAGAAATATATTTTCTCCTTTCTATTTTTTTTTAATTTTCAGCAAAATTTGCTGATAATACTCTGCCCATTCTTTCATTTGCTCTTTTGCTTCATCATTCAGTTTTAACCAAGGCATTTTTTAACCCCATTCTTATGCATTATGTACTCTGCCTTATATAACTCTACAAAATTGCTAATTTTAAAAATTTTGTATGCAAACTTTTCCTGTTAAAACCATTATTACTGCATTCTTCCTTCCTACACCTAGTCTCCTATTACCACTATCCTGGGCTATGTACACACTGACATTGCATAATTAAATCTGCAGCACTTTTTTTTTATCATGTCATTTTCTCAATCTAGACAATCTGCCAATTATTATTCATATTTCTTACTGACATTGTTATTCTGTAATTCACTTCAGTTTAGACAGAATTCATATCTGCTATCTTCCATTTATTCTTAATCTAGCTATCAATAAATAATGATCAGGCATACTGAAAATATGTATATTCAAAATTTTGACCATCTGTCTTTTATCTACTATCACATAGTCAAGAAGGCTGCTATTGTCACTCTGTACCTTGTATACTTAGTCATATTTTTCTTGAAATATGTATTGTCTATTACCAAACCACTCCATAAGTATAATTCAATTAGGGCTCTCATTATTTCCACCTGGTACTCAAAATTCTCCTTTTACACCTTCTGTAGTATCAAATCTTCCAAAACATTTTCTTAATGTTACCTAAAATTCTCTTAACATCTAGAAACTTGTCCTACAATCCTCTCACATCCAACTTAGTCGCAGTGTTGCAGGGCAATGAATTGAGTGAAATATGAAACTCTGGAAGGATGCAAATCATTAACTTAATAAAATATGTGGCCCTGTGGAGATTGGGAAATTAACTGAATATTGAACAAAGGACAGGTAAAAGGATTAGGTTTTTAACCATTGTTAGGATGGTATATTCTAAGAGGGATAAACTGAGGAGCTTTACTTTCTTGTAAATGCTTTACAGGTAGAGGACAAGTTTATCTGCAGTGCAAGTGGAAAAGTTCGTTATGTAACACGTCCAGACCAGTATCTGCCCCTACCAGTACCTGTTGAAGAAGCAATCAATAAAGAAGAAGTTGCTGCTTATCAAGCATTAAAAGCAGAGGCTCGAGTTTCACAGAAAGTCGTGTATGTCTCATTTGTGCAGTTTTCAATAGACTAGCTGATGCATTATACTGTATTGTACAAAATGCATTATATCAGACAGGGATAACACCCTTTCGGAAGAGAATACCCATTCAGGACGAGGACTACAGAGGGATATGTTTTCTTGATTTCATGGTAGACAGTGTGATATATAAATGTTGGCTCATAAAGCATGGGACATATGCTTGAATGACCCATCTATAAAGATTTTTGTGTAAAATAATAATGCCAAGGAATTAATCTTCTTACAGACAGCCTGACGAACAAGTGCGCACAAAAATACCATTTGATGTATGTTTGTCAAAGTTAGCATCACCTGAGCAAATAGTTGCATTTAGTTCAGCTGCAGAAAAGGAAGTCAGCATGCAGAAAATCACTCGCCTTCGCACTTTTCCAGATTACTTAGTCATTCAGGTTAGTGATATGTATATATTTTTTTATCTTGTTGGCTGTCTCCCACCAAGGTAGGGCAACCCAAAAATAAGGAAAAAGGTTCGCCATCATTCATTCAATCACTGCACTTTCTTGTACATGAGGACCCCACATATACAGCAGGTTAGATTCTAGGCTACCGCTGTAAAGCAGAAAATGCTGTAAAGTGACAAATAGCCCTTTTTTCACTTCAAAATGCATATAAAAGCTTGATAACATGCTTTCATTATCATGTATTAAGTGAGCAATAGAGCTAGGCCTAAAAAAAAATGCATATACAGCACACACATTAGTTACCTTAAAATATTTTCATACTTAGCTTATAGTGATTGGTGAATACTGTTTATATAGGTAGCATGAATAAATGAAGAATAGGTATGATTGAAAACCACTGTATTAACAAAACGCTGTAAAGTAGAGCCCTCCTATATGTGGTTTCAGGGGTCAAGTCTTGCCAAAAGTGTGCTGACATAATTCGGGCAATCCTCTGACTACAATGTCCCAACTTCTCCTTCAGAGTGCAGACTGTCTTTTTTGTGTGTGTGTTTTTTAATGTCTACACACAGCTTGAAATCAAAAATAATTTACTACTGAGGCAACACTGTTGTATACTGTTATATACTATTGTAATGAGGTTTGTTTTGCTTATATTATGTGTTTGGAAATTGAGCTAAACCTTCCATGGTGGGAAATGGTTATGTTAAAAAATGGATTCCTGGTTTTTATATATTTTGAATTAACTTTATTTCAACCTGTTTTAAGCAGCATATGGCCTCTGTTTTTGTAATGGTCATATTTGATATTAAAATATAAAGAAACTGAATGTATTCAGCACACTTCCATACATGACATAAGGTGCTAAAAGATAGAATAAGTGGAGAGAGGGTAATAAATAGAAAAGAAGGCAAATAAGAGTCATTGAGAATTAAAAGTAAATTTTGTACAGTAGTTAGATATACAAGTTTAAAAATGAAGTTAATTACATAATTTACGTGTCAAACCCATATTATGTGCAGGATCTTGGACAAGGCTGCACCATAAATTTATGATCATTGTGGGTTTAGTGCTTAGTTTTGATTAATTGCATCATAAATTCATTGTTCTATTGGTTGTTACAAATTCCTAGTTGAATGCTAAATGTAAAATTACTGTTGATACTGTTTTAAATAAGTTGTTGATCATTATACCTGCACTTACCATATCTGCATGTGCATACCTTGGGTATGTATTTTGTACAGCTAAACATAAGAGTAATTATTGTTTCCATTATTCATTAGAACTCTGTTATTTGTATATTTTTACCAAAGTTTTCCTATAGATTTTGTAGTAAAGAGCAAACTCATATTTGCTGAATGCAGGATTTTAATTACAATTCATCTTTACCAGTGGGTAAAGATGAATTGTAATTAAAGTCCTGCATATTGTTCAACTGCATTGAACAATAGAAATACCTTTCTTTTTCAGCTGGTAAAATTTGGTATTGGTCAAGATTGGGTACCGATGAAATATGATGTATCAATTGATTTGCCAGAGATTTTGGATCTGTCTGTATTAAGAGGTTATGGTCTTCAGGCAGGGGAGGAAGAATTACCAGAATCAGCTACTACTAAACCCAAGGGTAAGTTACACATGTATAGATCTAATAAAATCACAAGGATTAGTAAATTAATAGTTGTGGAGAAATTTGAGAGGAAAGAGTGAAGATGAATGCAAACTGTACATTCAGTGAATTAGTGACAAGAGTTCATTTTAACTAAAAGGAAGGTAGGAACCCCATGAATTATGTGGCTGTTCGGTTAACATAGCCATTAATTCGTTTTCTTACAATGAAGTTATAATGGACTGCTTTCTCCTGCATCATAACCAATAACTCAGTACCTAGAGCTTTTTTCTCAGTTTAAAGACCTAGGTTCAGTGTCATGGCTGGATGAGATATATGGGCAAGTTTCTCACCACTTACTGGCTGTGCTCGATTAACAGTAAATAGTTAACATGACTCACGAAATCGTAATGACACGATTGCAAACAAACCATACCACGGGTGGGGGTTTGATCCCGCGGTCAGAGAGTCTCAAAACTCCAGACCGTTGCATTAGCCACTGGGCCAGCTAGCTTCAATAAGAGTCATCCAACTAGGTATATTTCTATATCATATACCAAGTTGGATGAATCTCATTGAAGCTAGCTGGCTCAGTGGCTAAAGCGACGGTCTGGAGTTTTGAGACTCTGACCATGGGATCAAACCCCACCCGTGGTATGGTTAGTAAATAGTTACTTGGTGTTAGCCTACTGTTGGGTATTAAGAGTCTAAGGGGTCATAATATACAATAGATATGGTTTTTTTTTAAATGAGCTGAGGTATGATGATAAACGTTAAGCCTGTGAAACTGTGTACAAAAACTTTTTTTTTTTTTACTGTACACTATTTTTTAGTCAGATTTTGGCCTTTACACTGCATATACCAAGGTGGTAAACACGAAGCAGTTTGTCTTTAACGTATCTCTTCTACAGAACCTGAAATAGATGCTGGAATTGTGCAGCAGTTGGCAGAAATGGGCTTTCCTTGGGAAGCTTGTAGAAAGGCTGTTCACCTTACTGGCAACAGTGGCTCTGAAGCTGCAATGAACTGGGTAATGGAACATATGGGTGACCCTGATTTTGCTGAACCACTTGTCATTCAAAACGAGTCTTCTAGTGAGTTTTAATCAGTTTTTTCTAGTTATTTTAAAAATTGTTGGATATTGTAATTGATATTTTACAGATTTTTCTCCACTAACACGTGCTTTTGTGTGTCCAGAGTACAAAAGAATCTGAAAGCAGGCAAACTTTGCTGCCCCAATGTATTTGAAATTTGAGGATTTGAAAGTGAGATAGCAAAACCATGAGATAATGCTCATTGTATATGAGAATGGATCCTATTGGCAGGTTGCCAACAGTGGCAAAGAAAAGACAAATTGCAGGTCAAGCTTTTGTGGCAACAATGTTCTGCTGTGTAGAGACTTATCAAGTCATACTTATTCTGCAATGTTTTGACTTCACAGGTAAGCTGGGAGAGCACCAGCCATGTCATAAGGTATCCTGCCCTTAACAGTGACTGGGGATTCAATATGTTGTAGCTCATCACTTCACTTTTCTCATACCAAGACACACAGCACTTTCTTCTTCTTTCAACAAACCGGCCATATCCCACCAAGGCAGGATGGCCCAAAAAGACAAAAAACAAAAGTTTATCTTTTCAACTTTAGTAATGTAGTATACAGAAGGGGTTACTAGCCCCTCGCTCTCAGCATGTTAATTGCCTCTTATGACATGCATGACTTACAGAAGAATAATTCTGTCACACTTCCCAATGGAGATAAAAGGAAATAGACAAGAACAAGAACTAGTAAGAAAACAGAAGAAAACCCAGAAGGGTGTGTGTGTATATATATGCTTATACATGTATGTATAGTGTGACCTAAGTGTAAGTAGAAGTATCAAGACGTACCTGAAACCTTGCATGTTTGAGACAGAAAAAAGACACCAGCAATCGAACCATCATGTAAAACAATTACAGGCTTCTGCTTTACACTCACTTGGCAGTACTGTAGTACCTCCCTCGGTGGTTGCTGTCTATCAACCTACTACCTATCTTACTCAAATACTTTTTTTTTTTTTCAACAAGTCGGCCGTCTCCCACCGAGGCAGGGTGACCCAAAAAAGAAAGAAAATCCCCAAAAAGAAAATACTTTCATCATCATTCAACACTTTCACCACACTCACACATTATCACTGTTTTTGCAGAGGTGCTCAGAATACAACAGTTTAGAAGCATACACATATAAAGATACACAACATATCCCTCCAAACTGCCAATATCCCAAACCCCTCCTTTAAAGTGCAGGCATTGTACTTCCCATTTCCAGGACTCAAGTTTGACTATATGAAAATAACCGGTTTCCCTGAATCCCTTCACTAAATATTACCCTGCTCACACTCCAACAGATCATTAGGTCCCAAGTACCATTCGCCTCCATTCACTCCTATCTAACACGCTCACGCACGCTTGCTGGAAGTCCAAGCCCCTTGCCCACAAAACCTCCTTTACCCCCTCTCTCCAACCCTTTCGAGGACGACCCCTACCCTGCCTTCTTTCCCCTATAGATTTATATGCTTTCCATGTCATTCTACTTAGATCTACATAACATTGATGAACATGGGCCGCAGGTGAGAGGAGATATGTCTTCCTGGGATAATCAAGACATTTGGGCAAGTCTTTGTGCCTGCTCCTCAAGTTCACTTAACTGTAAACATACTTAGTGGACTGTATCCTAGGTAGGGCTGGACTTGGAAATGAGCTATGGTAGACTACCAGCTTTTATCCTGCAAATTAAACTGTATAAAAAAAAATATGATAGAGGTAAATGTATGATTGGTACAGTATATTTTATAGCTGAGAGATGTTTGTAGGGGAGGTATTATTAACGAGGTAAAGATATTGTTTGGGAGTGTGTGTAAAGGTAGAAAGTTGAAAGTAAACATAGAAAAGAGTAAGGTGATGAGGGTATCAAATGATTTAGATAAAGAAAAATTAGATATCAAATTGAGGAGGAGTATGGAAGAAGTGAATGTTTTCAGATACAGTGGACCCCCGCTTTACAATCAGCTCCCAATGCGACCAATTATGTAAGTGTATTTATGTAAGTGCGTTTGTACATGTATGTTTGGGGGTCTGAAATGGACTAATCTAATTCACAATATTCTTTATGGGAACAAATTCGTTCAGTACTGGCACCTGAACATACTTCTGGAATGAAATAATATCGTAAACCGGGGGTCCACTGTACTTGGGAGTTGACGTGTCAGTGGATGGATTTATGAAGGATGAGGTTAATCATAGAATTGATGAGGGAAAAAAGGTGAGTGGTGCGTTGAGGTATATGTGGAGACAAAAAATGTTATCTATGGAGGCAAAAAAGGGAATGTATGAAAGTATAGTAGAACCAACACTTTTATATAGGTGTGAAGCTTGGGTTGTGAATGCAGCAGCGAGGAGGCGGTAGGAGGCAGTGGAGATGTCCTGTCTAAGGGCAATGTGTGGTGCAAATATTATGCAGAAAATTCAGAGTGTGGAAATTAGGAAAAGGTGTGGAGTTAATAAAAGTATTAGTCAGAGGGCTGAAGAGGGGTTGTTGAGGTGGTTTGGTCATTTAGAGAGAATCGATCAAAGTAGAATGACATGGAGAGCGTATAAATCTGTAGGGGAAGGAAGGCGGGGTAGGGGTCGTCCTCGAAAAGGTTGGAAGGAAGGGGTAAGGGAGGTTTTGTGGGCAAGGGGCTTGGACTTCCAGCAGTTGTGCATGAGCGTGTTCGATAGGAGTGAATGGAAACGAATGGTATTTGGGACCTGACGATATGTTGGAGTGTGAGCAGGGTAATATTTAGTGAAGGGATTCAGGGAAACCGGTTCTTTTTGTATAACCGGACTTGAGTCCTGGGAATGGGAAGTACAATGCCTGCACTCTAAAGGAGGGGTTCGGGATATTAGCGGTTTGGAGGGATATGTTGTGTATCTTTATACGTATATGCTTCTAAACTGTTGTGTTCTGAGCACCTCTTCAAAAACAGTGATTATGTGTGAGTGAGTTGAAAGTGTTGAATCATGATGAAAGTATTTTCTTTTTTGGGGATTTTCTTTCTTTTTGGGTCACCCTGCCTCGGTGGGAGATGACCGACTTTTTTTAAAAAAAAATCTACACTGTCGGCCTTTCAAATGCTAAAACCTTTTTTTGTGTTTACTCAAAATTTTCAGGTAATGATAATTTCACACCAAATGAAGAAGGGCTAGCAATGTTAATGTCAATGGGTTTCACGCGGGAACAGGCAGCACTTGCTCTAAAGGAAACAAGCAACAGCTTGGAGCGTGCTGCTGACTGGATATTTTCTCATCAACATGAATTGGACACACTGCTGGCAGCTCAGAGTGGGGCAGCTGCAGTTCCTCCTCCGCAGAAGCCCACTTACACAAATGGTTCTCCAAAGTAAGTGTTATGAGAATTATGTCATTGTAGTTGGTGCTAATCATTTGGCAGTTGTGAATTTTTTTTTTTTTTTTCAACAAGTCGGCCATTGTGAATATCTTGTTTATTTGCCTGCTCACAAATTTCATGAAAATATTTTTTTAATGCATTTTGATTAACTTTTACAGAATTATTCTGTCTGTTTCTTTGATGCCTCTTTCCATTAAAGGGCTCCTTTTTTAAGATGAGAAGGGGAGGTAATTTTGTCTTAAAGCTTTACCAGATACCTTGACTACCTTCATTTAAAAGAGAGCAAGAGCTCAAACACACGGGATAACTTGAACATGCAGTATAGCAATTCATTTGAGATTTGTTAGTAAAATAAGATCTTGCTATATTTTTAATAGGATCAGAATTCCCAGAGTTTAAGTCTTGCATAGAGAATAAAATTTAGAAAGAAAAATTTGTCAAGATACTTTTGGCAACATTCCATCTATGGTAAACCTCACATGAAAATTTTAGTTTAACAGTACATGTAATATCCTAAAGGTTTCTCATGAGTTTAATTTCATGGTATGTCTTCCATTTTATTGATTGTGCACAAGAAACCACCCAATCAACTATTTCAACTACCTAATAAAGGGATCAGAAATTGGTAATTTGGCCAGTTTCACACAAATTTCGAAATATTCTAATTTCAAAATAAGGTTTAGAATAAACAGTGCAGGCATTCCTGGCACTAAAATAACATTTTGTCTATTCATTTTCATTAGTTACATTTCCAGGCTTTACATATGAATTCCATTTTGATTGTTTACTCACACAAAAAAATAGAAGATTTACTGTTATGCAATATTATAATAATTGTATAAATAATATCAATGCATTCGTGAACACATATTGTATGATTGACGTGATTTATTTACTCTTGAATACCGGCAAATATTGAACATTTTCGTAATTTCGAGCTCAATTTCAAGCTTCAGTAGGATCCCCGTATCCATAGGGAATACGTTCCAAGGATCGTAGCAAACCCTATAAGTCCTATACATACTGTTATGAAGTTTAATTGATAAATTTTGCACAATAAGTGGAGAATTATCTCTTTTTCACTGATGGGAAGCACTTCACAGCTTCTCTTAGTTTTTGAAGAACTGCTTTTGCATTTTGGGGCCATTATGGAAAATTAAAAGATATTTTTGGGCCACTGTAAATTGGATAACTGAAACCACAGATATCAAATCAGTTGAAACAGGGGTTCTGCTGTATTTTCATTCCTGAAATCAATCAAAATCATCTCTATTTCTGTAATATATCTTCCATTCTATCAAATGAGACCAAGAAATTGAGAATACAACCATAAAACCATATGAAAATACACTGCAAAGTCTCTGTTTTTAAATAAAAAAGTCTCTTTATTTTATTATTATTATATTATTATTATTATTATTACTATACACTGCATGCTGCAGGATGTTTTTATATAGTGCACACTTACCACATAGACCCATTCTCTTGTATCTAGGCCCAAATTTACTGCTCACAGCTTAACTGAATGAGCTAAGCTCATGGTGTAGTACTGCAGCACCAACAGTGCCCTTAGACCCTTAGTACTGTGGCACTAACAATGAGAGAGTTAAATGTGTTTTTCATGTCTTATTTTTACTATCAGGTAATGGATGAATTTTTATTATTTCAGCCTTTCATAATTTATATTTATTTTTGTAGCTCTGTCTCTGATCTTTATCATGTAGTATATCACAAATGGCACTGATTCAAGATTCCATAGTCCTACATACAGGCAGGCCCTGCTTTACAGTGCTTCATTAGTACAGCGGTTTTCAGTTATACCCATTCTTCACTTATTTGGACTTCCTGCAATAAATATATTCATCACTCCCTATAAGCTAAGGATGAAAATATTTTAAATTAAGTAATGTGTGTACTGTATATATATATATATATATCTATATATATATTAGGACTAGCTATATTGCTCACTTAATATACGAGTATCAACGTGTTGTCAGACTTCTACATGCATTTGAAAGTAAAAAAAGGCTACGATTCAGTTTATAGCAATTATCGCTTTACAGCGGTATCCTGGAATCTAACCTGCTGTAAGTGGAGCTCTCCTGTATATATAGCATTTGACAGACTGGTTTGACCGACACTTTTCAGGAACGTATACCCTACATTCAGCAAGAGGACAATATACTTGCCAACTTTGATGCATAATAGTATTTGTTTTTTATAGAAGATCCATTAGTTTTGTTATTCAAATATATTGATAGCTCAGAAATGTGGAAACAGGATTTTTTGTGTATGAGGTATTGTTCAAAATTGTGCTTGCAGGTTTGTCATTTTCTGTAACCTCTACATTAATTTACAGTTATCAAAACTATGCTCTGAATTTAGCCAAAAGTGCTCTTCAGAGCTTATTAGCTTTTGTAAATACCTCTTTAAAATTATTTCACCTGACTTTTTAAAAATTAGACTATTAATATTCCAGGTATGAGCTAAGTGCTTTTCTAAGCCATATGGGAACATCAATATTTGTGGGCCACTATGTCTGCCATATAAAGAAGGATGGAGAATGGATAATCTTTAACGACAACAAGGTGTCAAAATCCGTGGACCCTCCTCTGGACCTTGGTTACATATATCTCTACAAGAGAGCATCCACATAGTCCTATTTGCAGGACAGATGTTGGGTGCCCAGGAAATATGTGTTCATTTCCATTTCTTAATAAAACTAGAAGAAAGTCCTTTGACTCAAAAAAAGGCTTCTTGAGTAAAGGTATTGTGCTTGGATTGAAAAATGAAAACCTTATTTGGTTATAGAAGTTTGTCTCCAAAGTGAAAAGGCAGACAACATAACAGTGCAAATATTGCATAAGAACTGTGATTTAGGCTAATGAATGTGACTAAAAATGTATGAAGCGTAGTTACACTTCAGTAATGTGAAAGTGAAACAAATCATCAGTACCTTGATACTGTGGTTTTTTTGTTTTCTGGCTATAAATCTTTTCAATCTAGTATGGAATAGTTTACAACTGCTTTGAAAAATAACACCACACAAAAAAGTAAGACTTGGAATCCTCATTAAACATAAAATGTGTTTTAACTGTTTATTCAGATAATATATGCAAATTTTTATATGGATATAGTGCACACTTTGTGTACACGATTACCCAGAAAGAGGCCTTACATTTGACATCCTGATATGCAGTGTAATAAAATGAAACATTTTTGTCAGGTTTCACAAGGACAACTACATAAATGGGTTTTAGTTCAGCTAGGTACTGTTGTGTGCTTTTTTTTTTTTTTTTTGCACTATGACCACTTTACCATACAGCAATTTTTATAGTTATTTTAATGTCAAAAAGTTACTATTAAACCCCCTAAAACATTAGTTTGAGTATTTCTTTGCTTTATTTGTAGATTTAAATTGAATAAAACTGTTACACAAATTCAGTGTGCACCAAAAACTTGCTGCAATTATTTTCTGGCTAAAGTCATTGTACTAAAATTTTAAAAAATCATATTGATAGCTCTTAAAGATTAGTGTCTAACTATCATTCAAAACCTACACTACATTGTACCACTGCATATGAGAAAACATTTTGATATATTGTATTTATAAATATTGAGTTCAGTGCTCAGATATGGAAATAGTTGATGTCTTTGTATGTCTCATCTGTAAATACACCATTGAAACTTAGCTGTCCATCACTACTCATGTGGGATAACTGAAGGAGTGTAAAGTCAAATTATCAGTAACAGTTTAAATATTCCATAAAGAACACAGTTTTTACTTTTTACCTTGCATACTGTATCAACTTTTTCAGATATCTTAAAATTTGCTTTTGCTGTACATTAGGCTGGTATTTTCTTGCTGAGATAATTCAGAAATGTTTTATGAACAAAATTTACACTACACAATATGAAAATACACAATTGCAATATGTTTTCATATGGTATCAAGTTTGCAAAGACAGTTTATTCCATTTATCACTTCCAGGAATACAGGCCTGAGAATGAAGAACATAGATATTTACTGGAATGCATTGGATAGCAAAATACATTACCAAAGTAGTATGATGGTGATGAGTGACTGGTTGGAAGCCCTGGAAATTGTGTTCCACTTGTAAATGATAATAGTTTTGCACTGAAAGAGATGTAAAGAAAATACTGTAATACCAGGATCACTGGTAGTGCTTAATAAGGGATTAATTCATATATGCATAGCAGTCTCTTTCAAGAGGTAAAAGGTGAAAGAATGGAAAGTTAACCTTTAAGAATTTGTTAAAATTGTTGAATGCTAAAGATGTTGTACTAGAGATTTGTGAGTATTGTAAATAAAAGTGAAGAAACTTGTTTCCAATGAAAATATGCACACTGGCCAAAACTGTAGAAAAAGTGAAGTGTGCAGCACAGACTTGTTAAAAATTTAAAGTACAGTAGTAGAATAGCACAGTAGTAATGTAAAGGTGTGGAGTTGTGTGAATGTTAAAATAGAAGACAGGTGTGAATGTAAAGCAAGGACTGCAGTCAAAAATGTAAAGATAAATGCAACACAAGGAAAAGCCTATACGTGTATTGTACTTTTCTCACTCAGGACAAGTAAAATGTTGACTTAAAGAAAGGCTCATCATTGTGTGATCTTTCTCTTAACATGGACAGACCACAATTTGGAAATGAAATTAGCATTTTGGTCCATCCTGGACTATTATCAAGCAGATTTCTAGTTTCACATCCAATGTGTGGGTTAGTTGTGACTAATTCAAAAGGTGATCTGGGAAAATGATTAAAATTTAAAAAATTGCAAGAAATGAAAGTACTGTTTGTTTCATGTGTCTTCCTTTTCTATAGTCTAACCTGTCTGTATTTTTCTTTCTCAGTCAAAATCATAGTTCATTGCGTGCAGTACTTAATTTCGTGTTATAAATTATCACCTTTATTTTCTAAGTGTACCCAGAAAACCTACCTTTAGACATCCTTCTCCTTTGTTGTGAACACTGAATCCAGAATAAATGGCACATAGCCCTCTCCTACTAAAGTGCTTCATTTACATGTTGCTTTATAAATGAATCCGAATTCAAAGTTTGGATGATCATTTATTTTCCACTCCAGCTTCACAGTTCATGTTTTTATCTGCCTTCAATAATTCCTTGTCTAACCTACCAAGTCTTCTGTATGTATAGTATTTTATGGCAGGTTGCAAATGTAGACTAATAGAAGTTTTCATAGATCTGGATTACCAATGCTAAAGTCTTGAAATTATAATAAATTACAGTATGTTATATTTATTTTTTCTTTTCTTCTGGTCTGAGGAATTGGACCCTTTAGTCTTCTTCCTCTAACCAGATCTTATTACCCCCCTCAATCCCTACCCTATCCCTCCTTTTCCTTCCTCCTTTCCCTTCCCTCCCTTTTTCCTATCTTTCCCTTCTTCCTTTCCTGCTTTTGGCCTTTGGGGTCTTCCCCTCTGAAATTCTAGCTCCTAGATTGGAGAAAGGGTGTCGATATCTATCCCATTCCATTGAGGCCCCTGGTAGTGGTGGTATTTGCCATGGAATCTGGATTGTCTGGGGATGTTCCGTTTCCTCTCTGGAGTTCCGGGGGGGGGGGGGTGACTCAGGATGTCCTCTATGTGACGGGTGTATCTCTGGAGGCTGCCTGTTGGTTCCGGGTAGTGGTGGCCAACGGAGGTATGCCTTGTGGCAGATTTCTGGCCACCCTCTCTTGTCTGTTGAGGTGGCTCAGCGGATGAGAGGTTGCTATCCTGGATTGCTGGTTTACTGGCACAGGTTCCACATAGCATCTGCACTGCTGGCTGCACTGTGGGCCCTTTTGGGAAAACCTATCATGGAGACCTATAACTATGACTTGCCTCCTGCCAGGCCCTTTCCTGCAGCATCCCCTACAAACCTTGGCACTCCTTTGGACCATTCTTCAAACCTCTTTTAACCCGGTACCTCCTCGGGTAATGATCCATTACCCTGATACTGCAGTTCCGACTGACACTTCAGACACTTCTGGCCTTTGCATGGCTTTGACTACGATACCGGCTTCTCCACATACAGTACGTCAATTTTCGAATCATACACGCGACTCTGAATGGCCCATCTCTAACCTTCCATCCAAACTACCTTGACGTGTCACTGATGACTACCTCAGTTTCCTCCCATGCTTCTAAGAAACGTCCACCTAAGCAATTCCTCCCCTTATGCTCTGTTTCACAGTCCTCTTTGGACGAAATTCTTTACACTTCAATCAATTTTTCCTACTGACTATCTTTCCTACCACAGCATCAGCAAAGCACTTCTTCGCCATTTTGAGCAAAACATTTCCTTCCACAGTCTTAAGAATGGCACACATGTTGTCACTTCAAAATGCAGACCAGGCACAAAATCTTTCATCTCTTAATGTTGTTGTTGACACACAAGTTAGGATTTGTAAGCACATCTCCCTAAATACTTGCTGTGGATCTATCATACTTCCATACATGATCGTACAACACGATTCTCATATGCAATTATGGTATTCTAGAGCTCCAGAATCTCCCAATAATATAAGTTGTCACTTACATACTCCGTCTGTGGGTGGAGGAGTTATCCTTGCAATATAGCAATGCTAACCTTTGACATCTGTGAACTGCCACCATCTGTTTACATAGTGGGACAATGCCTACAAGTGCAGGTGGTGATCCCTACCTTGCAACGATACTGAAAATGCTGGTGCTCCAGCCACCTGGCGAAATATTTCAGGTCCGAGGCACAATGCCTTGTCTGTGGTGCTGCAGTCCATCCTGCAGTCACCCTCCCTCTTGCCTTAACTGCAAAGAGGCAATTAAGGCAAGATGGAAAGGCATATGACATTACTTCGAGATACATGTATAGCATCTTGGCCCAAGTTCATTCCTTAGGCCTCTGAGGCAATGTACCATTTTTCCCTACAAACTTCATGTCTGAGAGACATTTCTATGTTTGAGTTAATAATTTGCTTTTCCCAGACTTTGCCCAAGCTAAAGATGTCCTGCAGAGATATATCCTTAGCACCACCTTTTTCTACTGGCTATAAATGATCTGGCCTCTGTTCTCCCATCTAATATATTTTTGGTCATCATTTTGTCAATGACTTAGCTATAGCCTGTGCAGGTGCCGACTATCGTCTAGTAGCAGCCTTGCTCAGAATGCTGTAAACTGTTTTCCACTGGGCCACTGTGCATGGGTTTAAATTTTTCTGGTGCTAAAATACACCAAATTACTTTCACCAGATGTTCTGTTGTCTCTGATACTCCATAGTACATGTACTTATATGGCTCCCATATCCCTGAACGTGATACGGTCAGATTTCTTGGCCTTCTGTTTGATTGCCAGCTGTCCTGGAAACTTCGCATTGCCTCCCTAAAAGCCACTTTCTATAGCCAGCTGAACCTCCTAAAAACCCTCACTCTTCTTTCGTGGGTGGCAGATCGTCAAACTCTCCGACTGCATTCAGCCCTAGTTTTATCAGACTTACACTGTGGCAACCAGATATTCTGTGGCCGCTCCCACAACTTTCCAAACTTGATCTCGTCCATCATCAGGGATTACGTTTGTGTCTAGATACTTTTCACTCCTTCCCTGTTGAGAGAGTACATATGCAAAGGCAAATGCTCCATCCTTGAACGATCACCGTGATGCCCATTGCCTCCATTATTTTGTCCGCTCTCATGACTTTAACAATCCTTCTACATACAGGATAGTAATGGACATTAGTAGAGGTTCATTATTTGTTTGCCACCCCTGTTTACTTCGTCCCTTTTCTTCTTCACTCACTCTCGAATTCTCTTCAATTGCCCCCTTTATGTATACATACAAGTACATCTAGCATCTAACTTTTTTCTTCCCCCATGGGAGGTTCCGATAGTTCATATCTATTCTTCCCCATTGTTGTACACAAAAGCTCAAATACCTACAGTGGCTTCTTGCTCCCTTAACCACTTCCAGTCTCATTCTCAGGGCATTGCAGTTTACACTGGTGGTTCTAAATCCTCTGACAGTGTCAGGTTTGCAGAAGTGTTCCTAGACAGTGATATATGAGGTCATTTATTAGACTTGGCTAGCATCTATACAGCTGGATTGTGTGCAATTCTCATAGCAATTATCCACATTGCATCCAGGCCTACCTCATCGTTTGTGGTAGTTTCAGACTCCTTTAATGCTTTGCAAGCTATCTAAAAATTTAATTCACATCATCCCCTGGTTCTTCATATACAACTTTGGTTGCACTGCATTTCTAGCAAAAACAAAGAAATTTTTCTGCTGGGTACCTGGGCATGTTGATGTTCAGGGTAACAAGTAGGCAGACTGCTGTGTGATCAGCAGTACAAGGCCTTCCAGTTTCATATAGAAGTATGTACGTATTCTATTCTCAGATTATTTTGCTGTAATCTCTAGCCACCTTTGCAACCATTGGTAACAACATTGGTCCAAAGTGATTCACAACAAATTACACTATCAAGCTGAGTTTAGGATCCTGGCCTTCTTATCATGGATGGCATGGTTGGGAGACTATGCTTTCCCATCTTCACATCGGGCGCACACATCTCACTCATGGGTATGTTGTGGAGAGTTGCCCAGTTCAACTGTGTGCAAATTGTCTGGGTTCAATTTAAGTTTGCCAGTCTTTCAGCAAGCACACAGAATTCACCTCCAACATCACTGCTCTAACATCCTTACTTTATTTTTCCCCCTCACTGACGACCCCACCTTTGACACAGACTTCCTCTTCGACTTTTTTACAACAGATTTATTAC